AAATATGATGGTACACGTGGCCTGAAGATCAAGTTTAACGTGTACCACCGTAACTGTTAATACCTGTGCTCGAGCTTCTTGCTGCTGCTGGTGACTTCCTGAGCGGACGAGGACAATTGTTTCGCCCATCTGGGCGGGCTTTTGATGTCGTACTGGTCGTGCGGATTCTTGAAAGTATGCAGGAAATTGCACGCCCTTCCTTTCGGGCATTTCGACATCCCGCAAACCGCACTCCTCCATGACTTCAAATTGACAAACTCGCAGTTCAGCTGTCGGCCGGCGTACCATCGACCTTTCAGCTTCCTCAATGCCCTGGCAGCCTCCCTCTCGGTGTAATATTCGACGTACAGGTTCCCCCGCAGGTGGACCTCGCTGTTGCAACAGTACTTCAGGGTTTTGATCCTGCCGAACGACTCGAGTTCAGGGACGACGTCGTTGTAAAATTCGCGAAAGTGCTGCCGTGTCTCCGAGCTTTCGAATTCAAGGGCAATGTCCGTGTCGTACTCCGCGGAGTTCTTCTCCAGAGAGAAATGCGTGTAAAAGCCAGGTACCAGTATCACTTTACTCAAGCATACTCTGCGATGATTCCTCGAACAGGTATCGCCGTATCTGCGAATCATCGAACTTGTTGAATGACACCGTGCTTGTGTTTTTAATTATTAATTAAATTAAGTTTCAATTAAATTAAATCGCTCACCTGCAGGCACCTGTCTTTGCGAAAAATGGACAAAGTTCTTTACCGGGTTGACTGTCGATAACTTCGCGCAGAGCTTCCGGCGTCTTGATCCCGTCATCGATGTAATCGTCGATCTCTTTCAACAGCTGCTCTCGCTTCCTAATTTCCTCCTCTCTCCTACGCTTCTCCTCTTCCTGCTTCTTCCGAATGGCCTCCTGTTTCGCTTCGAATTCCTGCCGGACTTTCGCCTCCTGTTCCAATTGCAGTTGCCGGGCCTTTTGCTTTTTCTCCTGCAAAATTTGCCATTCCTCTTGGGCTTTTACCTAGGGAAAGAGAGAGAAAGAGAGAGAGAGAGAGAGAGAGAGGGATATGAAACATAGTGTAACATAGTGTAACATAAAAGTAAGCTTGATTGTTTAGCTTATAGGAACCATGTAGTAATTAGCGGGCTTTGGTATCCACATTTATTTTCAGGGTTATATGCGCAACTCACATGGGGAATATCTAACGTTTAACTTTAATCGAACTTGTATCGATTAATTGCTATCGATTTCGAAAAACAAAACAGTACAACACGATCAATTGCTCGAGTAGGTTTCGCAAATCGTGAGAGGAGAAAAAAAAAGAACCAGAAAAAGATGGCCAAGTGAAACCCGCGAGATTTAAAAATTAAAATAAATTTTCGTGGAATTGTTTGCGTCAAAGTTATTCTAAACTCACCTCCTTCTCTAACCACAGCCTTTCCCGTTCGTCGTGCTCCTCTCTCTCCCGAGCTTCTCTCTCTCTCTCCTCGGCTTCACGCTGTTCCAGCCAGTTTGAATATTCCGCGCTTTCCTCAAGTGCTGCCCTCTGTCGTTGCTCGTCCGCATCTCGTTCCGCGGCCGCTCTACGACGCAGATGTCTCCGGCGTTCCTTCTTCGCTATCTTACGCCACTCTTTATGACTTTTCTTCGTCGAGCGATTCCCTTCCATTACTATGCATTTCCCACCAAAAGACGTGTACGCGTCACTTCTGCCGATGTCGCGGCACCACGGATGTTCGAGGCTCGTGAAACGTGCTCGTTACGCGTCTGACAATACGCGTTTGTCATAAAGAAATGCAAGCAACAACACGTGCACGTCGCCATGTTGCGCTCACGATTAGAACGAGAGGAGCTCCGATCCGGATTTGTCACTATCTTTTCAAGTTGCACGAAATCAGACGTTTCCGTACGTTTGAACGCGATTTTGTTTCCTTCACGCTGTCGAGTGAAACATCTTCCAACATGCACACGTACTCGGAGAAAATAACGTGAATTTCTTGTCGAAGTAAAAATCTCATCGAGGTACTGTTCGGCTGGTTCATTATTTACACAATTTTCCTTTCTCGCATTTCATGATGCGTGATGCACACTAAACAAATACATGTTACGAGAAAATGCAGTTTGATGGTAAATATTTGGTGACGTAGATTGTTACCATCGTAGGTAATATATCTTCTAGGGACTTTTTTTTGTCTCAGTGAGTTGGTCACGTTTATTCATTCAAAAAACCGAACTTCCTCGTGCAACAAAGAACAAACGGACATTCGTGACTCTGTTCAAATATTTGATGTACTTTTCAACGAAAGAGATCGTGCAAATGGGTACATGAATAATCAAAAGTGACAAAATTATACTACATCGGTATGTAGGTACAAGTGTCTAATATGAAAACATTCTCGTCTAATTTGTACAATAATTCCATTCGATTGACCGAATGAACATCAAAATTATTTATGAATTTCAAATGCTTCGGATTGATTGTGTTTTTACGTAGAAAAGATCGTCTCAGTTGATAAATAAGGATCCTCTATATAACGAGACAAGATACATAATTTATGCGCGACGGGTACACGAATAATCAAAAGTGACAAAAAATCATACTACATCAGTGTATAGGTAGATACAAGTGTCTAATAAGAAAACATTCTCATTTAATTTGTACAATTCCATTCGACTGACCAAATTGATATCAAAATTATTTTTGAATTTGAAATGTTTTAGATTGTGTTTTTATGTAGGAAAGATCGGCTCAGTTGATAAATAAGGATTCTCTATGTAACGTGAGAAGATACGTAAGAATTTATGCGCGACGAATCGAGCGAACAATTTTAAGTAAATATTTCGACTAGATTGATCGAATCACTTAGAAATCCTTTTTAACAACTGTTGTTATACCATTAATTGCATCTTTTTTAATGCAGACACGCTATCGCAGTATGCGGAAACATGTCGTCACGTATTTCATTCTTGTTGATATATTCTTAAAACGGGTCCGGTAGATTCTTTCAAACGACAAATTTCTTCCCTTCGTCGATCGTGTTGATTCGCGTAATTCCGTGTCGGATGCACGAACGGCTGTTCCGTTGCTACGGTCCTGCCAAAGTACCGTTACACGTATCTGACAGAGCGTTGAACCGCAATGGTAAAGCCAGCTACTTTTCGAAACGACACCGACGACGACTACGCTGCGGCCGATTGTGTTTACACAAAGGGAACAATCATCGACGTGCAAACGTACATAAGAAAGAGGGAAAAGAAACGAAAGAAAAAAGATCGCTATTGTTTCGACCGTCTGCCTATTCTCGTCGAAAGAATAATGAGGAACCGCGCGATAGCTGACAATGACACCTGACAAGTAGCACGGGCAGAGTTGTTGGTGGACTCGCGAGGCTAAAAGCCGGTAGTGCTTGCCTGCTCGTCGTCAACGTGCGTTTAACTCAACTCGACTCACACTTGACGCGTAGTCAGTCGTGTTAAAAAATCGTACAACCGGAAGAAATGTGCAAGTCGATGCGTACGTAGTAGACGTGTAACGCGCTAACGAACAAGAAGGAAGAACAAATCGAAAAATGGAGTTGCAAAACGGTGTACAACAGTTGGAGAAGAGGAACACTTCGGGATCGAGCAGGAAAAGGGAGAAATCGATATTTTGGGCGTACGTGCTGTGGACGATCGGTGGTTTCGTTGGAGCGCATCACGTGTACCTGGAACGGGACGCGCAGGCTTTCATATATTTCAGTACTCTCGGTGGATACTTTGGCCTCGGATGGCTTCGCGACATCTACAGGATCCCTTCGTACGTTCACGACGCCAACGAACGTCCGAGCTTTGTGAACGACTTTAAGCGGAAGGTTCGAACCAATCGTAAGGTACATATATGAGAAAAAAAACGATCGACGATCGATTTTTACCACGAAATTAGGCAAGTGTACGCCGTGCGCGTAACTTTCTGCACAGAGGAGTCGAATCGTGCGATGTATAAGATATATATTTATATACGTACGAATCGGCTGCCTAAGCGAAATTTGATATTATTAAAACGGTGTGTGTGTGTGTGTATGTGTTTGTGTCGCTTGGTTTCAGCCGCCGTTCTCGTCGGTGCGATTCGCCACGGAAAACGCGATTGCGTACTTTTGGGCCGAGATATTCCGCAACGCAATTCCAGAGGACGAGGTGTTTGGAATTAATTTTAGGCACTTGCTAATCCTGACACCTTTGGTCATTGCTTTAGGTAAAAGAAGAAAAAAAAAACAAAGTTGGAACAAAAGTGACTGTGAGATCACCGCTGCGCAATTTATTTTCTACCTTCGCTAATGGCATGTCCGTGGTGTCCTCGCATAATTAGCCGATAAGATTTCACAAATGCGAGTATCACTGCCGGACGTGTGTGTGTGTGTGTGTTCAACGCGTTCCGTGCCCAGCCATTTTTCCTCGACTTTTCATTCAGGCCATTTGATATTTTGACTAAAGGTTGATACATTTCATTACATCATCAATCCAAAAGTAATTAGCTTGTATAGAATAGTTATTACATCGTGTACCATCCGTGGTACGCTCATAATCAGTTTTAATTTTTTAGTAAAAAGTTAGTAAAAAGAACCTGCCGCGTTAGAATTTGTTCGGTAAAAAAAAAAAAAAAACGAGGGAAATAAATTCTTTGACAAAAGAGGAAATAAGTAAATACGCGGAGATAACATTTTTTTTTTGTCTTTTCCTTTCGTCTTCGTTGGAAAACAAGTTTCCTTCATTAACGTTCGTAGCACTTGCTATATATAAGCAAAATGTAAAAAAATTCAGTACTGAAGTAGCAAGACAAAAAAATTTAAGAGTAGTACCCCTTTTTATGCATTTCTTGCTTGAACAAAGTGAATCGTTACATATAATTATTAATTATTGTACATATAACAATTAATTATTAATTATCATATATATAACAATTAATTATTAATATTTATTAATCATTGATTATTGTATAATTATTAATAATTATTAATTATCGTATATCAATAATTATTAATTATTAATAGTAATTATTAATGATTGTATAATTATTAATAATAATTATTGTACAATTATTAATAATTATTAATTATCGTATATTAATAATTAAGTATTGCAATTATTAATAATTATTGTAAAATTATTAATTATTAATTATTAATAATAATTATTAATGATCAATAATAATTATTAATTATCAATAATTATTAACAGTAATTACTAATTATTCTGAAATTATTAATAATTATTAATTATTGATAATTATTATTGTATATATAAAAATTAAACAAACCTACGCGCTTGATTCCATACTGCAGTTTTTACAGTGCCTCGTTCTTTTGGCGGAAATATATTCTACAGTCTGAAACTTGTTACGAAATATATGTTTTTAGCGCGGGAATGTACCATCGGTGGTACACGTGGCACGGAACGTGTTAAACCGACGCTACACGATCCGGGGCGAATTTTTTTTTTTTTTTACGAGTCCAACGTTATTTTCCACTATTTATTTATAATTGATAACGTGGCTGAAATTATAGTAATTGTAGTGTATTTGATCAGGTGTCTGGACGGTCGGGAATATTGGCAGAGAACAAGGCTCCATATGGATTGCCCTTTGCTCGGCGTATTTGCTCTATCCGACGCTGTTCTACATCGGCGACGACAGCACGTGGATATTTTTGATGGTGGTCGCTGCCAGCTTAAGCTTCGATACGTTCAGCAAACAGTGGCGGCTGAAGCCGAGGAAGAAACGTAGCTTCGTACGGAGGATCTTCTGCCTCGGCTTTGCTGCCGCCATCTACCTGTCCCTGATAGGATCGTACTTGTATTTCAACGCTGTTATCACCGACAGCGAGGGCGAGGAGATTAAATTGTCCGAGGCTGTTCAACACTTCTTAACGTCTCCCATATGGTTGGATCTGAAGGTTCGTGAAAATCACACGCAACGGAAGTTTCACGAAGATTTTTCACGCGGAATTTTTACAGGCAAGTCTCGTGGCAACCTGGAATCAAGCGATTCATCAAGGTTTCTGGGCAACGTGGGCACAACTGATAGATCTGACGGATCCTCGGGGTGAAATAAACGCCTACAAGGTACACCTCGATCCACCACGTTCTGCATTACGCGTGTGCAATCATCTGACTCGGCGAAATCTTCTTTCGCATGTAGGTTTTAGGCCTTTCACAAACGGCCACGCAGACCGAGGTAACGTCCCGTTGGAGAGCTCTTTCGAGGGACAATCATCCCGACAAGATAAAAGGCACCGAGGAAGAAAGGCGACAGGCTCAGGAGACATTTATGGAGATACAGCAGGCGTACGAAATCCTCTCGAAGGCGAAGAACCGCAGGCAACGTCGAAATAGAAAGTTCGAGTGAACCTATTGCCTTTAACTTTTTCCAAGTTAATTAAATCTTCCATCGACTTCTTATTCTCTATTCGAATTATCGTAACCGTCGACATTTTGATGTCTCGACAATTAAACTGGTTGTATCTGTACTGAGACAAAGATCCGCCCCTCCGTTGATGTTTGTTTTGAGAGAAATATATTTCTTACAGTTGTTCAGCAACAAGGTGCGCACTATTTATTAATGATACAAACCTGCGTGGCGAAGAAGTTCGTTCTACCTCGTTGTCTCTGCAGTATGCACTTTGATCGAGGGCAACGTTACCGATTTGTAAAGTACGCAGATGCATAAAGTGCAAATACAAATTTTACACGTATTTGCTACGAATACTGTGTAATGTATAAACGTGTAATATCTTGCCAAAGTGATGATTTTTGCTTTGCCTCGAGAAGAACAACCATCTTACAAATAATGTACGACATTTTTACTAAGATATTTATTTGTAAGTTTGTTCGGCGGTCAAGTATAATTTAAAAAAAATTAGTTTATGATGTTCAACGGGTTTATGTACGTTTGTAAATGTTTTCCATCGCTCGCTTGACGGATATGATCATTTCACGAGGTATTTAAAAAATTATCTCATCGATTCGATGAATTCTTGTTGATCCTTTGGCATCGGTGACGTTCGATTCGTCTGTCTGGCAATAATTACCAGAATCGTGGAGCAAAACTAAATTTCATTCGTTGACACGGAATAACAATTTGACAGGTTACACGAGTGGGAATTTCGTTCGACTAGTGAAAGGAGAATGGTCACTGTAAGATTCTCAAGGTAGGAACTGTGTATCTGAGCCGAATGACCGATTCGTCGCATTATTTGTTCTTGTTCTTCGACCGCGATGGCTTCCCTACCGTGTTCTCGATCTTCTCCGTGAAATTTGGCATGTACTTGTCCTTCGATTGTTCGAGGAATTCTTGCGGCGAGACCAGAGTCACCCTGCACAGAAATCGAAGAGCAGAGAGTCAAACTGAAATCAGCCGGTTTGGAAGACAACACGTAGCTAAGAAGCGAGAGCTTTACCTCAACTGTGGCACGCTCAGAGGCCGGAGAAGGCTTTTAACCACGGGAGGGATGTCGCTGGATTTCGGTAGTGCCGGACTGCTTGCGCACAGCGCAGCGCTAGTTAATTGAGAGACCAAGGAGAAGCTTCGATCTGGCCCGGACGTCGTGCGAAAAACTTTCCTTATCCTTGACTTCAGCCCGGAAGACGGTGGCGACAGCGGTACGGTCGGAATAGGCATCACCTGTGCATTATTCAACACTTTTTTGTTATTGATACACACTCAATTCGTAGGATAATTAGTATAGCAGGACTAAAAATTTCAAAACACAGAAATGAATCAACCTGGTTCACACTAAATTGGGAGAAGTGAAAGTGAAGTA